ACAGCGACACTGACTGGTGACAGTATGAAAAAAAAAATATATATATTTTTTTTTATTTTTTTTTTTTTTTTATTATATTTAATTTTTTTTATTATTTTTTTTTTTTTTTTTTTTTAAGATTTTTTTTTCATATTTTACTATGACCAAAATATAGTACAATGTTACCATTTTTTTTTTTTTTTTTTTTTGTGCTTTAGCTGTGATTTGGTCACAGCTAATCACATGACATGTGCATGTGATTAGCTGTGACCATTCACAGCTAGGCACTAGTATACAATGGATGGCATCATGAATGAAGCCATCCATTGTATACAACTGTCATGTGACCTGCTGTGATTGGTCACAGCAGGTCACATGGTACCAGCAACGGGAGCCGGTACTCGGATCTGTCATCGGCCGTGTCCGAGGTGCACGGGCGGTGACAGATCGCACTGCTGCGTCGCTCTGCAACCGCGCATGTGCGGGAGCACGCCAAATGGCGTGCACCCGGAAAGCTGCAGCGCTTTTCAAGCCGCCAAACGGCCATTGGCCGGGCGCGGCTAATGGTTAAAGAACAACTCTGGGAAAGGCAAAAAAAAATCATCGGTTAGTACACCTCCCTACACAAAACACTAGACAGTTAATACAATTTTAAAAATCCTTACCAATTAGCAGAAAAGTCTAATTGAATTTTCATGACCTCATCTCTGTAATTCAAAAGATACCAGCATCTGCTCTGCAAAGGAGGAGGTGTTACAAAAGGGATTACATCATATCCTCTCCTCTCTCTCTGCAGTAAACGGAAACTACAGTTCCCATCCATCACAAGGAATTTTAGGGAATGTGAGCAGGTACATTAGGCCTGTACATGTTGACTGTGTTTAAGAGTCTTGATCCACCCCCCACTGCAAGTGGGGCTGAATTACATCACTGCTTTCTGGAGAAAGAACTACAGAGGGGATGTGCTAAGACCAGTGGCTGGGGGAACAGGAGGCATAGCAGCCACTGGTCTTACAAACAGGAAACCAAAGAGAATTAACGGTTTGATTTGAAAATGAATAGGCTATATCAGAGCAACTACTGAGTGAACCAGAAAATGGATGACATATTCAGTGAAAGTAGGAAATCAGCAACAAGGATATGTCAAGAAGTTATATAATATATTGAAATGGTATAGCTTGGGGCAGAGTATCAAAATGCACCATGTTTCAACACTAAACACTGTTTGCAATTAGCCCTATTGAAATACTTTTTTTTAAAGTAATTTCATATGGCTTGCACAGAAAATGCAACAAAATGAATGACACAACATCCAATATGAAGAAGCTTCAATCTGGAAAGACCTAAACAGTTGGCATACACAATCAGTGGAAATCATATTACAAAATATTCTGTACCTACATAGCCACTGTTTTTTTGGCATATACAGTTAATTTAATAGTTGAACAATTCCTTTACATCAGGAACTTGAAACATCTATAAATATAGATGCAACTGCTGGATGAATATTCAGTAATTTGCTTTAACCCTCAAGGAAAAAAAATCTAACTTTTCAGGTAAAATATCTTGTAGTCAGTTATTATCTTCTTCCAGTAAATAAAGAAGTCTCAGAAGTCATGTACTGAGTGGATTTTATTCCCACCCCAAATTATTTTGTGTCACTGTTGTCTTTCCAGAACCTTTCTATATGGTTACCATGCCAACTACCAAGAATTCTGCAAATGGGAGAACATTTTGTTTCAGAAGTCTTTTCTTTCCTGAAGGATTAATTCTGTAAAGTTAATTTAATTTGGATAATAAGCATCATCCCTTTGAGAGATGCTGTCAGGTACACTTCAGCTCAAGATGATCAATCCATATTTTGGAATAAACCCAGTATACTGCCTTGCTGTACATTAAACTAGGAGGAGAACGCTTTCCAATACATTATTCTCACATCTGATGCATCTATGCAGAAGTTTTAAAATGGAAAATCTTGTTGATTTTCATGGTTTAACACAGTCAGTAGTATTACATGCTGTGCTTCAACTGCCTTAACATCTGAGGCACTACATCTACCCATCTATCAAAACTATACATAAGAGAATTTGAATTCTACAATAAAATTATTCAGCTAATTATTGCGATTGTAAGGAAGCAACAGGAACTATTGGAAAACAAGCAAAGAACTGTGCAGTCCAACAAAAAGGTTTTCTGATAAAGTTAATTTGGAATATGCTTATAGTTCAGCTTGTACACTTTAACATAGAAAAAATCCAGACAGTCCTATAGACCATTTCAGCAAGTATCTAAAGAATGTCAAGCAGCAGGGAGACATTTAGAAAGCAGATTTACAAAATATGAATTTAAAAATGAAGTCATTTTTAGAACTGAGGTATGTGTGGCTGATCACAGCTCTAGTTTTAAGGCTAAATTCACACTATAACGGACAGCTGCCAGAGCGCTTTACCAACCGAGCACTGTCCATTGCCAGCTGTGGTAGGGGGCAATGTGGTGCGCGATTCACCTTTTTTTTTTTCTTCTATTAACTGTACAAATTGTACACTTCATTCATGGTGCTGTACAGTGTACGTTCTATACAGTGTGCTGATAAAATGGATCTGCTCAAGTGTCCTCCCATTTTATCCTAATCTTCTATATAAGTTTGCTCTCTGCACAGTTGCTTTAGCTCTGAGGAAGGGAGTACATCTCCCCAAACGCGTTAGAACACCTTGCTGTTAGAATACTGGTCGCTCGGTCTGACACATTGGTTCCAAGCTTGTTATGAATCTTGGTTTGTGAGTATGCATTTTTTTTTAAATAAACTCCTTTTTATCACGGTAATGCACGAGGAGAGTGTGCCCCTTCTTTGCTTTTTTCCAATAAAATGCAGCATGCCTGCATTTTATTGCAACACGCTGCAGTGCTGCTTTAGGCTGTGTTGCAGTGAGAATGGGACACATAGGAGACAATTGTTTCCTGTGTGTCCTTGTGGTGACAGACATTTTAAAATGCAGTAAAATGTCTGTCACTGCACACTGTGTGAATTAGCCCTAAAACATCTCTGCACACAACTGGATGAAGGCTAGTTTCACCCCACTTCACAATTCAGAAAACCATACTTTTTTGTTCCTTGTTTGGTAAATCATGAGTTGGTGAGACAGAGATCAGTGTACACAACACTTTAAGGTCTTGGGAATATTTCCATGGAGACTAGTAGGTGAAAAAGAATTATGTGTCCAAACTGCTTCCTTCACTAACATAAACATATTTCTAAACCACTGTATCTAGGTAATTTTTTAGGGCAGATTCCTTGCCAAAAAAAGCCAAACCATTTGCTGATGTTATTATCGTTTTAAATACTCTTTTCAGGCCTGTAACTCTAACTCAAATAATAAGGTTTACAAAGTTAGCCAAATATATTTGCAATGAACCAGAACCTTTTTGTAACCTGTCAATCATATGTTTTTTTCATCATATGTTAGGAGATCACTGCTTTTTGTATTCTAAGTACTACTTTTTGAAAACTGCTAGTATTGTGTCACTGTTTCTTGATGTGTATGAATACCATAATCAGAGGCCTATTGATAACCAAACTAATATAGTATTCTGTCAATTGTATTCTAAACATTTTAAAACAATTTTTTTAATAATCTGTATAAAGCCTTTATTTTACATACATCAATATACATTTATAACAGGGACATTTTTCCAAACCCAACACTGCCTATGTGCTTTCTGGTGGACCTAGACTTAAATTGGACCTATACTTAAAAAAAATTAACACTTTTCTATATAATAGGATTTGCACAGTTTAATATGACAAAGCAATCAATAAAGTATTAAAAAAATACCTTTAGCATATAATTCCCAATTAGGGAAATCAAGACTTTTACATCATTAGGCACATCCTGCCTCACTGGATTACATTAATAGTGCCATCTAAGACTGGGTCTAGGAAAAGGAGGATCTGCCTAACTAGCACGAACATCCATTAATGTGGAGTCTTCTTCATAGCCACACATCACTGAGGAATGGATGAAAAAGTGGCTCTACGAGGGAGCGGCTGCAGAATGTGTTGCACAATTCACATATGGCATGTCTCACAAAAGGATACAGTTGCTAACTTTGGGTTCCCTTTAATGATGCTGCCTCTGCTAGCAGAGTGGTCTGGAGAGTGTAACCTTTTGTGATCATTCAATACGTGTTGCTGAATGTGATTGGATTAAAAAAAATCTAAAAACACACTGCCAATTCCCTTTATTGTTATTTAGACATGTGGAAGTGATCATATTTATGTAAGTAATCCTACTAGAGTGCTCATAAAAACAAAAAACAAAACCTCACATCTTTGTGTGATCTGTAATTGTGTATGTATGTGGGGGTGGCCATTATGCTTATTTCAAACACAGGCTCATTGTCTAGTTGTGTCTTGGTGATCATCTTACTGCAAGTCTTCCACGCAGGCTCTGTCTGACTGAAAACAATATATTATCTGCAGTTTCTAATGATGTGGAATACCCACAAAGAAGCTCAGGGGCATGTTTTATTCACTTAATTAAAGAAATATGTATATTATTATTAATATAATGTATTGATACTATGTTCCCTATTGATTCATGGGAGGTGTAATTTTTTTAGTTACAGGTCTCATTTATGGCAACACAAGGGCGATACAAGGCAATTCTTTCTTTATCCAGTAAAGTGATTATGGTCCTGTGAAAAACATTTCCTTGTATATGAAAATAGAAGTGTTTACTGAAATAAGTTAACAGTTTCTGGGAAGGTGCCTTATTGATGTAAAGTAAAGGAAACCTCACCAACCTAATATCAAGTTTCTACCGAAATAAACTCTGTAGCATTGTTTCAGATTTACACAGCACCAGGTTGTTTGTCAGATTTCATATACAGTATAATTAAGGTTGTTTCTTTCACTCGTCACGTACACAATTATTATAAACATGAGGTGCTCTCACATTACTGCCTATGATGCTTCAAAATAGAAAGTTTTGGCTTACAGGATATCAAGCATGTTTGTATACCTGCTGGAATAGCGAATCGTATCTTCATGGTGATACTGATCATCAGCAAATAACGAGGAAGAGGATATAGTTGTTGCTAAGGAAGCAGCTTCAAACAAGGAAGGGGGTGCTTGGCACAAGGTCAGGTCGATGCCTTGAATTTAATGCTGCAGAGAACAAAAAGGTATGAGAACACAAACATACGTTTGAAGTCATGATTACAGTACATGTGATTCATAAAAACATTCATACGCCTAAGTGTGACTGATCAGGCCGATTTTCAGAAATCAGGCTTTCATGAATTTCAGCTGATCCACAAGCATTAGTTTTTTCCTTAAGAATAGGAATGGAGAAACACCAGGCTGGTATATCAATAGCAGGATGGACTTAAAGTGATTTTAAAGACCTGGACTTATTCTTTTTAAAATAAACATGTCATATTATGTCATGTTTTGCACAGAGCAGCCCTGATCCTCCTCTTCTTAGGTTCTCCGCGGGTGCTTTTGGCCCATCCCCCCTGCTCGGGGCTCCCATAGCAAACCGCATTCTATGGGGGCACCTGAGGTACATGCTCACTCCTGAGCTGATGTTCTGTGTGTTCATTCACACACAGATTGAGCTAGTTCCCGCCCATGCTCTCTCTTCATTGGCTCACTGGCTGCCAATGGCTCCAGCTGCTGTCTCAGACAATGAGGAAGGAGAGACCCTGGAGAGCCGAGGCTCCAGGGAACATCTCTGGATTGAGAGGGGACTAAGGAAAGTACTGGGGGGGGAGGGGGGTGCTGCTGCACACAGGTTTTTTACCTTTATGCATAAAATGCATGATGGTAAACAACCTTAAGTCTTTACAACCACTTTAAGAGTGCAGGAGTCTTCCAGGTCATGCGCCACTGGCCATCAAACAAACACTTCAATATTCTGCTCCCGAAGAAGTGTCAGAATTTGCAGAAATCCAGAATAATATTTAGGTAATGTTTTTTTTTTTTTTTTAGGTATCATGTGGTGGGGAAAACCTTTAAAAAGGTGAAATACAGAGGATGATAAACAAAACAGCTACCCACAATTTATGTAGGCAATAAATGCTGGTAAAACTGCTGCGGTCATAGGCAGTCCACTGCCTGAGACTGAGTAAAGTCCATTGTTTTGCCTGCAGTTACTTCCTTATGTACAGCAATGTGTACAGACAAACAGTGATGCAGCTTAATCATATTGTCACAGGCATATTTTGCTTCGGTTTCCATTCTTGTACTGCAATAAATACTGTCGAAAGGTGCAGTCTGATAAACGCAATTCATTTCTCACTGTAAAGGTAACCTTGGAATATGAAGTACGGCACTCAATCCAGCAGCTTTTGGTTGTATTGGATGAACTACTGATATGTCTATGGATTACATGCAACACCTTGTGCTCTTATACTCTGGGGAATATATACAGTATATATAAATAATACATTGCCCAAAAAAATTAAAGGAACACTTTGAAAACACATCATATCTCAATATTAGGCTGGATATCTCTACTGATATGGACTGGATAATGTGTTAGGAACGTAAAGATGCCCCATCGTTTGATGGAAATGAAAATTATCAACCTACAGAGGACTGAATTCAAGGACACTCCAAGAATCAAAGTAAAAACATTATGCAGCAGGAAAGTTCATTTTGCTGAAATTTCATTGCAGCAACTCAAAATGGTACTCAGTAGTTTGTATGGCCCCCACGTGCTTGTATGCATGCCTGACAACGTCGGGGCATGCTCTCAATGAGACGACAGATGGTGTCCTGGGGTATTTCCTCCCAGGTCTGGACCAGGGCATCACTGAGCTTCTGGACAGTCTGAGGTGCAACCTGGCGGCGTTGGATGGACTGAAACATGATATCGCAGAGGTGTTCTATTGGATTTAGGTCAGGCGAGTGTGGGGGCCAGTCAATGGTATCAACTCCTTCATCCTCCAGGAACTGCCTACATACTCTCGCCACATGAGGCCGGGCATTGTCATGCACCAGGAGGAACCCAGGACCCAACAACAGCATAGCGTCTGACAGTGGGTCCAAGGATTTCATCCCGATACCTAATGGTAGTCAGGGTGCCATTGTCTAGCCTGTAGAGGTCTGTGCATTCCTCCATGGATATGCCTCCCCAGACCATCACTGACCCACCCCCAAAACAGTGATGCTGAACGATGTTACAGGCAGCATAACGTTCTCCCACACCCTTTCACGTCTGTTACATGTGCACAGGGTGAACCTGCTCTCATCTGTCAAAAGCCCAGGGAACCAGTGGCGGACCTGCCAATTCGGGTGTTCAATGGCAAATGCCAATCGAGCTCTAGGGTGCCGGGCAGTGAGCACAGGGCCCACTAGAGGACATCGGGCCCTCAGTCCAGCCTCATGAAGACTGTTTCTGATTGTTTGGTCAGAGACATTCACACCAGTGGCCTGCTGGAGGTCATTTTGTAGGGCTCTGGCAGTGCTCATCCTGTTCCTCCTGGCACAAAGGAGAGGCTATTGGTCCTGCTGATGGGTTAAGGACCTTCTACGGCCCTGTCCAGCTCTCCTAGAGTAACTGCCTGTCTCGTGGAATCTTCTCCATGCTCTTGAGCCTGCGCTGGGGAGACACAGCAAACCTTCTGGCAATGGCATGCATTGATGTGCCATCCTGAAGGAGTTGGACTGCCTGTTCAACCTCTGTAGGGTCCAAGTATCGCCACCATTAGTGACAGTGACTCTAGCCAAAATGCAAAACTAGTGAAAAACAGTCAGAAAAGATGAATAGGGAAAAAAATGTCATTGGCCTCTACCTGTAAAACCATTCCTGTTTTGGGGGGGGTCGATCATTGTTGCCCATCTAGTGCACCTGTAGTTAATTTCATTAACACCAAAGCAGCTGAAACTGATTAACAACCCCCTCTGCTACTTAATTGACCAGATCAATATCACAGGAGCTTAATTGACTTGATGCTATACTCTAAATAAAAAGTGTTCCTTTAATTTTTTTGAGCATTGTATATTGTCTCTTTGGATTTTAGTACTAGATCAATATAATGTCCTCAAAGTGAGGTTAGTGTTTATAATGTCTGCACACTTTCTATGTTTGACTTCCATCTCATGTCTATGGCCAGGTTTACATAGATGTTAGCATAATGAACACACTGCAAACGTTTATTTGCTTTAGATTTCACTGACTTGCATGTTTCAGTGTTTCTTACCTTCTTCATCCAGACTGGTGAAGCTCTGACCCTCTGCTAATTTTATGTTTTTCTCTTCTGACCATTCTTGATTGCTGGGAGATAGTATCTCCTGCGATGAAGACTTCAAAGCCGGGATTGAATTGCACCGTCGTTTGGAAGGTGAAGACTTTAAAGCTGCAAAATTAGTGTAAATATGTGTCAATAAGCTGATGCTTTGCAACTAGATTCATACAGACATATCAGTTTGCCACTCAAAACAAAACAGAAGAAACAGACATGCTCCTATAGAAGTAGTAAATGAAACTAGTGGGGTGCGCTTTAACTACATAACAATGCTGCACACTGACAGCTGGCATTCTGCTGATTGAGGAGGTAGGTATTTGCTGTACTGACAGAATTGGGGTTCTTATACCCACACATGTTGCTTTGAGTTAGTGTGGATGGAGTACTCACGCAAAGATAGTTTGTCCTTTTAAGTATAAATTCTGGGTATTAATAACAGAGAAGTCTTTTGTTTCTATTCTGAGTTATAACATTGCTAAATTGGACGTTTAATGGCAATACATTAAGGAATCTGGGAACGCTTTTTTTCTGAATTGGATGAGATGTCCTAGGGGGATTATTTACACATGCTTGAAAAGACCTGCCTATAATTTGGAGGTCATGCAATCTGATGAGTGGACTTTTCAAAGATGAAGGGACCCACGTAGTACAGAGTGACACAGAAAGTCGATTGCAGGATTTTTTTATATTTTACTTTTTTTTAGGGTGTTTGGACTTTTTTTTTTTTTTACTGAGGATTAACTTTTGGCATTGTTTGTTCATCACTGTGTTACAGTGATTTGTGTATATTTATAGGTTGATTGTTGTCTGCACTATTTAAATGATGTAGGAGTTTGGGGCTGGTCAGCATTGTCTGACATTTGCTGCTCACCATTGTGTGCTCCCATTTCTGCCCCTACATTGCTACAAAAGACTTAAAAACTTGGAGATGCTGCTTCTTTCCTCCCAACAGCTATACAACATTGGAAGTACACTTTTGCTATGGTTAAAAAACATTCAGCTGCAGAAACTATATACTAAAAATATGGTTGGGAGGGTGCAAACATGGAATCCAGCCACCCTGAGCCTGGAATTGGTTATGGTTGCTGCAACTCTAGCCTGCTTGTAAAATGGTCGGGATTCACGCAGAGTATTTGCTGGGGTGCAACTTTCTTTACCCATACAATGCAAAATAAGCTTTCTATGTACAATGTTAGCCCATACAAGAGGTAGATTTCCTAACTTTTAGAAGTGTGAGAATCACTGAGAGTCCCCTGTCTCTCAAGACCTCAGTATTTTATTAAAGTGGTCCTAAAGGCAGAATGCTTTTTACGTTAAATAATTCCCTGCATTAAGATAAAAAGTCTTCAGTGTGCTGCTCCCCACTCCACAGCCCCCTTTATACTTACCTGAGCCCTATCTCGATCCAGTGTTGTCTACGAGAGCAGAGGCTCTCTCTCTGCTCATTGGCTCAGGGAGACAGCAGTGGGATCCATTGGTTCCTGCTGCTGTCAATCACAGCCAGTGAGGAGTGAGCGGGGCAATGGATACACAGAGCTGGCTCGGCAGCAACCAGGCACAACTGACTCCATAGCAAGTGAACCTGAGAAGAAGAGGATCGTGGCTGCTCTGTGCAAACCATTGTACAGAGTAGGTAAGTATAACATGTTTGTTATTTTAATTAAAAAAGCGAGCATTTACAATCACCTTAAGGTGGAATATTGCTGGATCCAAGGTAGGGAAAGCTCAGTTTTTAGAAAACCTTTAGCAAATGAAAATTGGCATTCATTGTTACCAGCAATACAGTAGCCCCTATTCCCCAGCTAAAATGATTTTCTCATTTAGAGTCCACAGAGGCTGTGTCACATTAGAGGCTGTGCTATACATCTGGAACCAGAAATTGCTCTGTGGCTAACCAACAAAGTACCCGAAGGTCTAGGAAGTGCCACTGCCAGATGTCATTGCCTACAGCACACATTCCAGGCAGGTCCCAAGAGGGGTCTGAAAGGCTTCCAAGACAGCACAAAGGATTAGCTGATCCATTCAGCTGCAAATATAGTCCAGCTCAGCAGCAAGCAGATGATATCTTGATTGAAACAAAATAAAGAAAACAAAAAGGCAAGTAATAGGCTTAATAGAGAAAATACTTCCACCCTTGAAGGACACTAGCATAAAACAGCAGCAGTAGGAGGGGTTATACTTGGCTGGCAAGTAGCTTTTTTGTTTGACAGTGTCCAGGTAAGTGCTGCTCATGTAAATGAGTCTCAGCTCATACAGTCTGGCATACCTGCCAAATATTACTTTGAAAAATATAAAGTCATCTGTTTTAATACAATCAATTCAGAAAATTAAAAAAAAACAAAAAAAAAAACTACTATTGTGCACAGGTAAATAATATACAGTCATGGCCGAAATTGTTGGCACCCTTGATATTTCTCCAGGAAATCATGTATTTCTCACGAAACGTATTGCATTAACACATGTTTTGCTATACACATGTTTATTCCCTTTGTGTGTATTGGGACAAAACAAAAAAAGGGAGGAAAGAAAGCAAATTCGACATAATGTCACACAAACCTCCAAAAATGGGCTGGACTGGCACCCTTTCACAACTGCGGATAAATAAGAATGTTACAAGCATGTGATGCTCCTGTAAACTCACCTGGGGCAAGTAACAGGTGTGGGCAATATAGAAACACACACCTGAAAGCAGATAAAAAGGAGAGACGTTCACTTAACCTTTGCATTGTGTGTCTGTCTGTGCCACACTAAGCATGGACAACAGAAAGAGGAGACGAGAACTGTCTGAGGACCTGAGAACCAAAATTGTTTGGCAAAATATCAACAATCTCAAGGTTACAAGTCCATCTCCAGAGAACTAGATTTGCCTTTGTCCACAGTGCGCAACATTATCAAGAAGTTTGCAACCCATGGCACTGTAGCTAATCTCCCTGGTCGTGGACGGATGAGGAAAATTGATGAAAGATTGCAACGCAGAATAGTCCGGATGGTGGATAAGCAGCCCCAAACAAGTTCCAAAGACATTCAAGCTGTCCTGCAGGCTCAGGGAGCATCAGTGTCAGCGCGAACTATCCGTCGACATTTAAATGAAATGAAACGCTATGGCAGGAGACCCAGGAGGAACTGCTGACACAGAGACATAAAAAAGCAAGACTACATTTGCCAAAATGTACTTGAGTAGCCTTCTGGGAAAACGTCTTGTGGACAGATAGACCAAGATAGAGCTTTTTCGGTAAAGCACATCATTCTACTGTTTACCGAAAACGGAATGAGGCCTACAAAGAACAAAACACAGTACCTACGGTAAAATATGGTGGAGGTTCAATGATGTTTGACAGGGGTTGTTTTGCTGCCTCTGGCACTGGGTGCCTTGACTGTGTGCAAGGCATCATGAAATCTGAGGATTACCAAAGGATTTTGGGTCGCACTGTAGGGCCCAGTGTCAGAAAGCTGGGTTTGCGTCCAAGATCCTGGGTCTTCCAGCAGGACAATGACCCCAAACATACGTCAAAAAGCACTCAGAAATGGATGGCAAAGAAGCGCTGGAGAGTTCTGAAGTGGCCAGCAATGAGCCCAGATCTAAATCCCATTGAACACCTGTGGAGAGATCTTAAAATTGCTGTTGGGAAAAGGTGTCCTTCCAATAAGAGAGACCTGGAGCTGTTTGCAAAGGAAGAGTGGTCCAAAATTCCGGGTGAGAGGTGTCAGAAGCTTATTGATGGTTATAGGAAGCGACTGATTTCAGTTATGTTTTCCAAAGGGTGTGCAACCAAATATTAAGTTAAGGGTGCCAATACTTTTGAGCCCATTTTTTTGGGGTTTTGTGTGACATTATGTCATATTTGCTTTTCTGCCTCTGTTTTATATTTGTTCCAATACATACAAAGGGAATAAACATGTGTATAGCAAAACATGTGTTAATGCAATACCTTTTTTGTGTGAAATACTTGATTTTCAGGAAAAAAAATCAAGGGTGCCAACAATTTCGGCCATGACTGTATACATTTATATATATTGATGAAAACAAAAACTGTTTAGGTGGAGCAATCTTTCTTCCTGATCATGTGTGATATAGATATATCTGTAGCAAATCAATTTTCTTCCACAGCGTGCAGGCTTTATTGGGAAGAATAAAAGTCACTGGAAAAGGACTTGGTGTTGGTACAGTGCTTTCTGTACCTATATCAGTAACTGGTGATTAAGGTTTGCTATTCTAGTGGTGTGAAATGTTCAAGTGCAGACTAATTTAGTAATGTTATGGGAGCATATATTATCACATGCATGACTACAGTAATGATCCACCTCTGTTAATACATCTAAGGAGGGTTCTAGTTTTTATGAAATTATGTAACCCTCGCAATTTTCTAGTATTATCTTCTAGAAAAGCGATGATGTTGATGTGCCATACCTTGGACCTTTTTGAAGACCTTGGAATTCATAAACTTCAGAAACCTGCCTGCATAGAAACTTGGCCTGTGGACTGACACTGTGTCCTAGAAAGAAAGGAACAGGCATCTATGTTATAAAACAGTAAATCCAGCTAATGCAAATTCCTTTGATAAGCCCATGAGAACGCTTTTCCCCCCAATGAAATTCTTGTGATAGCAAATCTTGTTATACAAGATTTTCCCTTGGCTCCCTCGGGAGAGTCTTAGAAAATAAATCCAGTGTACAGACTAACGGTAAAAAAAATGATTCTGTCAAGCAAGGAAAAAAAGCACAACGTCACATGCCCTGTTGTGACTTAGGGAAGAAACTATTGGATATGGCTAAATATAGTGTTAATAGGAACAGAGAGAGATAGAGATAGAGATAGAGATAGATACAGAAATATATTCACATGTTAAAAACAAACTTGTACATCTGAATAGAAGTAAAATGTTTAAGTCGTGAATTCAAGAATTAAAAAAAAAACAAACAAACATGGAAAACTTACCTTCTATGTGCAGTGGTTTTGCACAGAGCAGCCCAGTTCCTCCTCTTCTCAGGTCTCCCGCCAGCACTTCTGGTTCCTTCCCCCTGCTGAATGCCCCCTTAGCAAGCTGCTTGCTATGGGGGCATTTATGCATGTTCAATCCTGAGCAGCACTCTCTGTGTCCATTGACACACAGAATGCAGAGCGACCTTGCTTTCTTCTCACAGACTATAATAGACAGCAGCAGAAGCCAATGGTTCCTGCTGCTGCCTCTCTGTCCAGTAAGGACTGAAAGAGCAGAGAGCTGCTGCTCTCATGCACAGCACTGGTTTGATATTGGTCTCAGGTAATATCAGGGGCTGGGAGGAGATGCATACAGAAGGGTTTTTTTTTTTACCTTAATGCTAAGAGTGCATTAAGGTAAAAAACCTTCTGTGTTTAGAACCACTTTAAGGCTAATGTGAAATTTACACACAGAGAGTGGCTCGGTAGCAAGCCTGCTCAAGTGCCCCCATAGCAAGAGGCTTGCTATTGGGGGGCATTCAGCAGGGGGAAAGACCCAGGGCCACTGGAAGAGGATCCAAAAAGAAGAGGATCAGGGCTGCTCTGCATAAAACCATTGCTCAGAGCAGGTAAGTATAACATGTTAATTATTTTTTTTTTAAGTCTTTCCTTTAGAATCACTTTAACAGTAATTAGCAAACCCGGTCCTTTTTCATTTTGGAACTGAGTGATTCCAGTTGATTAATAACATTGACTTTCTAAAAATAAAGCCAAGGTCCCTCTTTAAGGAGTTACTGAAAACAAAGTAATCTAAACAGACTTTACTGCCGAAAGCATTATTGGCAAGATGACGTCTCACCTTGCAGAGTTCGATTTAATGAAGGTTATTACTCATGTGAGTACATAAAAGGAAAAGGCAGGCAGCTATTTACACTAAAGGAAACACAGGCAAAAGTTGGGGCTGTGTGATGATGAGGGAAGAAGGTAATGAAACATGCACAATGTTAACCTATGTCTTTGAAAGCTATATAAATAAAAATAAGCCACTGTCGACGTAACACAGAGAGTACTATCCACAAAACTACAAAATAATACATTCTATAAAGTGATCATGTTTTTTAAAGATTCATAATCACACAAGCTTAGTGTGCATGTTTATGCCATGCTCAGGCAACCTCTGGCACTGGCCTTATCTCTCTGAAATACAGTGGTAATCAAGGAAAATTGATTTTGGATGATCTATTGTTTCCTCAATGCACGCAGTGTCCCATTTACCTGAATGGATCATGGTAAGCTGGCAGGCATGCTCGTTGAACTGCTGTGGTCATTGCATGTGTACAACTCTGGCTGCAGCCTCTGCAGCTAAAGGGGGAGCAGTTAGGGGTGGAAAAATGCAGCTCAACTGCTTGGTTTTTCATCCCCCAATTTCACGTGTGAACGAGAATTTAGACTGGGGTACCTTGAGACTGAAAGTAATTTTACAGGGTGACTTGACTTAAAAAAGTTGAGAAACACTGACATAAGGTATAACACCCTCATTCTCCCCACTCCACCACTTTAATGTCAAACATGCATTGAGCTCTGTGTCTGTTCCAACATTAGTACAGCATTTTACTGAAAATTCTATAACGCTTCACAAAGAGTTCTAAGCCATCTAAAAAAGCTTGATTATTAATAGCTTAAGGTAGCCAATAAAGGATATCACTTAAACCCCAAACTATCAAAACAATGTTACATAAATTAATCACAGTCATGGAAACTCAATAAACGACTGTTCAATACAATTTTACACATACACTGTACGACTAAGGGCCAGTTCACACTATAGAAATGCAGTCCAGATGCGTTCCTGCATTTGTGTTTTTGGCATGGTCTGCTGCATTTTTGATGTGTTTGTGACGCGTTTTTGATGTGTTCCAGTTCAATTTTTCCCATCTCTTTTTATTCAATATAAATAGGGACATGTGAGTTTTTGATGTGTTTTAAAAAAAGTAGAACATGCTGCATTTTTCCTGCACAGACCTGTGCTGGAACGCGTTCCAGCACAGTTCTGTGCAGGAAAAATGCAGCATGTTCTACTTTTTTTTTCTGCATCCAGAATGGACTGGAATTGTGAGCACACTAATGTGAACTATGACATTGACAACCATATAACCTACTTTCTGTGCGTTTTGGATGCAGAAAAAAAGCAAACTGAAACGCATGAAGTGTGAACTGGCCCTAAAAGTTTGTGGATTACGATTGTTTACAGAAAAACATCTGTACAAACTGATAAAACTTACCCCATCATAAACTAATGCTTTCCACGAATGTTCTAATTTCTTTATTAACCTGGAAACAGAATAATAAGATTAAAAAAACAATCAGCATTAATTTTTTAGATTGCATCCATTCTTTGACTAAGATGTTGTAAAATGCTGGGGAAGAGTACCAGAACATAAAAGAATTACATTAAGAGGACTGTCATGTCAATGAAGTTGAGGGTGTGAAATTGTCCATTTAAATTTCTTATACTTACCTATAAGACTGCAGAATGTCAATGATGCCCATGAAAAGAAGTACCCGTTCACCTCTGTGGTTTTTCGCAGGAATGCCACCCATCCTATAAAATTTTAAATAACATTAACCCAGCATGCTGTTATATGTAAATCATACAAAAATATATTGACATTTATAAAACTGGTGTTTATTGCAGTATACTAAAAATATATTAATACACTTAACAAGACATCCAGTTAAAATAATATTTCATTTTGGGTAACAGATGATGCTCATCTCTGCAGCCTCTGCTTAGATCCAGCACTGAAAAGTTTGCTTGGTGATTCTTTTTAGATGCTGTCTACTCTGACTAGATAGGGGAAACACCTAACTCCAGGGCAGCAATTCTAAACCACAGGGCTATAAAATTAATTAATACAATTAATAAGGTCACTGTTTGCCTCCCATAAAGTAATACACAACCTGGTGGACTCAGAACTAGGATTTTGCAATCCTTCCAGGATCTCCAAAGTGTTTATGATCCTCCTAAACAAGCTTTCTACGGACACTTGCAAATTCGTCATTATGCCCAATCTTTGACTACCTCCCTTCAATTTTCCAAACTGATTTGAGAAAATTTACTTGAATGGCCCATCAAGCAAGGGCTAATATCTCAATTATATAAAGTGCTGGTTTCTTTGCCCTCCCATCCCCCTCCAAAACACCTCTATATGCAGAAATGGGAACAAATTCTAAGAAAAGAGCTACCTTTTAAAAGCTGGCAAACAATTTGGACTCAGGCAGCTAAGAGCTCAATCTGCACTTTATACAAAGAAAATCAATATAAGATACTTTTTAATTGTTATTACATTCTAGATAAGCTACACTCCATATATCCTTCCAGAGATAACAGATGCTGGAGATGTAAGAATAGTCTTGGAATATATCAAACATATCTATTGGTCTTGCCCATTTATCAAACCTTACTGGCAAAGTATCCATGCCCTTAGTCATCAAATATTTGGCTCCTGGATCCCATTTACACCTAAAACCTAATTCTTGGGTTTACCCCTCCTGATTTTTTCAAAATGTTCAAATGAATGCTGTCACACATCCTTACAGCGTCTTGGTGTCTAGTTGCCCTTAAGTGGAAACAACATGAGCCTCCCTTTTTGATGGAATATTTAAGAGCTGTCCTAAATGACTCATTCGACAAATATAATAGGGGTTGGGATTTGTGGCATACCATGGAGTACCTTCCCTGACTATTCCTAGCAATCACCATAAGCATCTTTTTCTGTTCTGAGATTGGGTGGTGAACCCGCAGATCTCAACAGGCCATAGAGAACATTGAAAATTTTCATTCATTCATTTTCTCTTTCTCTTTTATTCTTTCTTCCTCTCCTCCTTCTGCTTCCTTCTTTTCTACATGCACTTTAATTCCTGGTAATCACCTAATATACACTATATTGCCAAAAGTACAAAAGTATTGGGACACCTCCCTTTACACGCACATGAACTATAATGGCACCCCAGTCTTAGTCCGTAGGGTTCAATATTGACTTGGTCTACCCTTTGCAGCTATAACAGCTTCAACCCTTCTGGGAAGGCTGTCCACAAGGTTTAGGAGTGTGTCTATGGGAAGGTTTGACCTTTCTTCCAGAAGCGCATTTGTGAGGTCAGACACTGATGTTGGACGAGAAGGCCTGGCTCGCAGTCTACACTCTAATTCATCCCAAAGGTGTTCTATTGGGTTGAGATCAGGACTGTGCAGGCGAGTCAAGTTCCTCCACAAAATTGGGAGCATGAAATTGTCCACAATGTCTTCGTATACTGATGCCTTAAGAGTTCCCTTCACTGGAACTAAGGGGCCAAGCCCAACCCTTGAAAAACAGCCCCACACCATAATCCCTCCTCCACCAAAATTTACACTTGGCACAATACAGACAGGCAAGTACCATTCTCCTGGCAACCGCGAAACCCAGACATGTCCATTGGATTTGCCAGACAGAGAAGCATGATTCGTCACTCCAGAGAACACGTCTCCACTACTCTAGAGTCCAGTGGTGGTGTGCTTTACACCACTGCATCCGACGCTTTTCATTGCACTTGGCGATGTAAGACTTGGATGTAGCTGCTCATCCATGGAAACCCATTCCATGAAGCTCTCTACACACTGTTATTGTGCTAATCTAAAGGCCACACGAACTTTGGAGGCCTTTAGATATTGACTCTGCAGACAGTTGGTGACTTCTGCGCACTGTGCGCTTCAGCATGCTCTGACCCCATTCTGTCATTTTACGTTGCCTAACACTTCGTGGCTGAGTTGCTGTTGTTCCCAGTTGCTTTCACTTTGTTATAATACCACTAACAGTTGACCATGGAATATTTAGTAGTAAGGAAATTTGATGGATGGACTTTTTTGCTCACGTGGCAACCTATCATGATACTATTCTTAAATTAACTGAGCTCCTGACAGCGACCTATGCTTTCAAATGTTTGTAGAAGCAGTCTGCATGCCTAGGTGCTTGATTTTATACACCTGTGGCCATGGAGGTAATTGGAACACCTGAATCCAATGATTTGGAGGGGTGTTTCAATACTTTTGGCAATATAGTGTAATTTCGATTGCCGATTTAGTACTTAGCTGCTTGCTGTGCTGTACGCACCCCAACCATGCCTTCAATTCAATTCACCATTTTCCATTAAGTCACTTGTCTCTGTACACATATCTCTTTCTGTGTTATAATATGTCTTTGTGTGGTGTTGCCCAACTTTTATACCCTACTGTGTACCAGTCCTCCAGTTGAGTATTGAAAGACACTTTGGAGTATGCTCTCTTTCTCTCTTTCTAGGAAGCGTTGCCTAACTGAAATCTTTTTCACTTGACATATATTGTGGTTTTCTCTTTCCTTTTTCTGAAAAATTTCTTCAATAAATAGGACAGTTTAAAAAAAAAATCTATTACCCAAAAAATCTATTATCTAACTTCAGCTAGTTCAATTACGCTTTGGCAATAAAACTTGGAAGATGATTGGTGTCTTTGCAGAGTCACACCAGATTTTTCACTCTCTCGTTTTAGTAAATAAACCTCCATGTGTCTCAAGAACATGGGCAATAAAAGGTACAATTTAATATAATGTGAAAGCAGGCACATTATAAACAAAATTAGTCTAATATAACTACAGATATGTGCACATAAAGTAGTTTATGAGTATAATATACACAATGTTCCCCCAGCAGCAAAGTATGCAGTAGTTATCACTTAAAGGTAGCCTATGTTTATGGTATCTACTAGTCTTCTTTTAACTAGCACTACTGAATTAATAATATTACCTTTTCCTTGTTGCAAGGCATATTACTGAATAAGGCAATATTTTCTTTTCCCAGAAACTTGGATCAGTAAAGAAGCTATTCATACTACACACTTATGCCATGGTGTTGAACAAGCTTTTGATACTTTGCTATTCATAAATTGCAGTTAAGAGTTTCAAGTATTGCAAAATTATATCATATATTGTCAAACATGCTTTTTGGTAAGAAGTAATGTTGCTTAAAATAAAGTTTTCAAAATTTTAAATAATTTCATATATGACTTACGTGTCTTCGCTAATAACAGTGTCAACAGCTTTTCCTGGTCCTTGTATAGACTCCAGTGCCGTGGAATACAGAACTTTTTGCACTGACGGCCGCTTGTTGTCTATGGAATACTGAGATGTCTCTCCTTCCTTGGATTCTTTGGATGCATGGTCAAGTACATGAATGCCAAGTAGTAAACTGTAGTCCATGATTTTGAAACTTTCCAGTACCTGTCCAACACAGGCATACATATTTATATTATACACATAGAATAAATCAGTCAAATTAGGAGGTGTCTTAGCCTTAGCTAATCACAACTAGTCAAAGGTTGCTTTATAAATAGCAGGGCATACATTGCAAATAAAGTTGTTACATTGGTAAATACACACCAAGAAAAACATGTAATATACTATTTGTGCCAAAACATCATAAACATGTTCTGTGTGTAATGCTGGAAAAAGAATATGCTACAAAGAAGGCTGAGTAACTACAGTAGTTGCTCTTGCACGCAATGACCACATGGTGCACTGCAGTCAACAGACCAGCATAGTAACTGCATATTTGCATATTGTTTTCCATGGACAGACTTAGGCTGGTCATACATTATATAATTTTCTTGAGATTTTTGGTTTAGATTTACCAAAAACCATATAATATGAGGTCAAACCTAACACTTTCAATTGTATCCAATTAGGCAGGCTCTTGCACTACATAGTTGAAGGTAAATCTAAAGGAAATTGGGCAGAAAATTATATATTAAATATAGTGTATGGCCAGCCTTAGGTCTTCAAGATTTGCCTCTGTATTTTTTGTATCTCAACATTTTCCAGGAGCTTCTTCTGAGCTAGTGTTCTCTAGATTTTTAGTAAAAAAAACCAAAACAAAATGACAGAAGACCGTTTTGAACTCAATCAAGTGGCAAATACATTTGGTATGGAAATCTACTTTAAAGTGAAATTGTACTCAATTGTTAACATAAACCTATATTAACAGTCTTGCTGGGATGAACAAGTAAAAAAGTGATAGCATGGATGAAATACCTACCATTCAATGATGCTCACCTGTGTGAAAACCTAGCTGCTTGGCTATAGGATCTTTACTAAAGAAGAGGATTAAAGGAACTGACTGGTTTTCTTCTTAGACATAGTCAGTTTACTCATTCAAGGTGTTAGCTGGTGTTGGAGTATAGAGGGAGCAGTGGTGTCACATCATCCATCAAGTGACTATGCTAGGACCTAGTGATTCCCAGCTAGAAATGAGCATTTTCAAACTGGAGGAGATCATATGCCTCCCCATAACTAGACACATTGAGTAAGTTGAACTGGCTCAGGTAGGGGAAAGAGTAGCAGGGGGTTGCAGGAGAGGAGAGTATCAATGGGGGAGATTTACCAAAACTGGTGAGAATCGGAATCTGGTGCAGCTGGATGTGGTAACCAATCAACTTCTAACCTCAGCTTGTTCAATTAGGCTTTATCAATAAAACCTGGAAGCTGATTGGTTTCTATGCAGAGCTGCCCCAGATTTTGCACTCTCCAACTTTAGTAAATCAACCCCAATGTGTCGCCGGAGGGAGGGAAATTCACAGACACAATCATTTTGCCTTAAATGGCCATGGTGACAGTGTATCCTTAGAAAGGAGATTGTTTAAACAAATACCTCTACCTTCACATATGTGGTCAGCAATAAAGGGAGCCACTGTATAAAAAGCAAGCTTTTCATCCCTTCTATTATTGTTTATCGAGCTAAACTATTAACATGGATCTATGTTAACATTTGAGTATGTATCCATTTTAGGCTTTTATGAAGAATGTACGTAAGGTTAAAACTAAACAGCACCGGGAGTGACAGGTTACAAGTGACCTCCCTTGTCTGTCCTTTAGGCCTGGCTCACACCTACGTGTTTTTAGTGCTTTTTGCAGAAACTCACTACAGTCCATTTAACATGGTTTCCTATGGGACACGTTCACTTCTATGTGTGCTCAGCTGCTGCATTTTTGGATAGGTGTGAACCAGGCCTTATTGAAGCTTTACAGCTTGGTCACCAACCCAGTCCCAGACTGCTGACTGAACAATGAAGATGCATCACCATACAACTCTATCACCCTTCAGCAGGGTTTCTCAACCAGGGTTCTGTGGAACCCTAGGGTTCCTCCAGAGGTTGCTAGGGGTTCCTCAGGCAATAAGCAATTTCGACCTTTCATATAAGTTCCTACTGACAACAATGCTCTTTTTATCTATTTGTAAAGGGGGAATTCTTCCCAGTGATCACAACTGTAAGGAGCATTCTTTCCACTGACCATCACACTAATGTACTGTGAGCTGTAAATATAATAATTAATAGCAGGGGTTCCCTGAAGCCAAAAAAATATTTCAAGGGTTCCTCCATGTAAAAAAGGTTGAAAAAGGATGCTCTACAGTCTCATTCTACAAATAGGATACCAATGTTAGATGACAGCATTGTACAATGCAGTACAGCCTGACTGGCTCACAGTTTTGGGCTTTATCTCCCAGTCTAAAACCCGCTGAAGGACTGAACCATCACATCATTAACAGATTAGGTCATATCTGGTCATTAGAAAGGAGGACATGCTACTGAATCTAAGGCCTTGCCTACACAGGCATACTTAAGCATATATTCATGTGCAGGGCAGTTTTTACCTGCACAAGATACAGAGGTGTTCTGTGCATCCGCATGCAAGCAGTCCCATTCATTTCTATCGTGATGAAACAGCTGCACAAATACAGTCGCTTCTTCCAATCTGTCATCCAAGCAGGTACAAGTGGCACGTGTCCCCAAATGCAAACAGTGTGAGTTCGGGGACACACACCACATGCATGTCAATTCAAGAGTAGCGGCTGTGTATGTGCAGGCGCTGCAACCCAATAGGCATGAATGGGACTGCACGTGAATGCACGAAACACCTGCGCATCCTGTGCTTGCGCACACGGCCCTTCACACACTGATGAACATTTAGGTATGCCAACATGAATGACGCCTAACATTACAGATATTTAATATTGCAGTAGATTTCTACTGTTATAAGGAATCCTCATACCCCATAAATACTGAAAAGAAATAAGAACTAATTTGAACTAAGTTGAAAGGGGTATTTTATATCTGCCTCCAATTTAGTTTTAGGCCTTTTTTGATTGTTAGGAATTAGAAGGCCACCAATTCCAAAAAAAAGGAAGCAAGATTTTTGTTTGCACTGAACGATTATTGCAAATGCATCTTTACAGTATTCACAGCCAAGTTTACATTCCATGCTTCTTCTGTAGTAAACCAAACCCACAGACTTGTATTATGGGCAGGGTCAGTAAAGCGCAGTCTATACATCTCGACTACCGATTGACAACCAGTCTGTTGGAAAGATTCTACTCCATCAGTGCTGCCGGCTATAGCTGGCAGCACTGATCAGTGTATTCTGAAGATGTGGAAGGCCCCCTGCTTTTAGAATACAAAGGCACAGCAGAAGGATTCCCCCATCCAAATGTGTGGATGGGGGAATCAATAATTTTTTTTTCGTTAAGCTTGCTAGTTCAACTAAAATCAACATTTAATAAGATAACATAAACATATATTAGCAAACCTGTAAGAAAAATCACAATTTTTTACCCTAGGCAACAACTACTTATATACTGTAGTTCAAATACATCTATGATTACTGTTTAACCTGCCAAAGGAGTTTTAATAATTATTGTAATGGACACACCTCTGCTAGTCAGTAAGATTGCTTTGTTAGCTCCTACTTTAGCGTTCTACTTCCGAAGTACCCATTGACACCAGTATGAGCACATGCGTTGTTACCCTTTTTAACTTCATCTATTATAAATGTATTCAACTTTACACAATGCTGTGCGTTGCAGTGTAGTTTATCACAACAGGCTTCATAAAAATTAATCCTGTCCTACATTATTTTGGTGCACACCAGCATAGCTCATTGGTGTGAACTGAAACAACAGGGCACATTGAAATAAATAAACATGCAGCGCTGATCATGAAAGATAATAAAATCACATAGAAATAAAACGTAGGTAATGAGTCCCATACAATATAAAAGTGGATCACAGTAAATTAAAATCCAAACAGCATCAATGACAATATATGTAAACAAACGCTTAATAGCGTTGCAAATAATGACGTGAAAAAAAGTCCCAACTTGACATCATAAAGTGCATATGGATTGCACTAACCAGAAAGCGCAAATTAATGCGCATTTGAGTGAATCAAGACCAACTTCTGGTCATCAGCATCTGGGAAATGGAAACAATGGGGGTCATCTGGCAAGCGTCAGCTAGGCAGGTAGCACACCATCAGGGTCTACAGGCACCAGGAATACACTCTCTCACCAGCAGGGGGAACCAGGCACACAGGCAATGCAGAAGTCACCAGGGTTTGCCTTGGGGGGGGGGGGGGGGGGGGCTCGTAATAAACGAGCCAAACAGAGAAGATTCCAATAGTGTAGTAGTTTATTTAAACAAATAGGGGTGATGACAGAGTAGAATGTACACTCACATGTAGGTGAATGGTGGTAACAAAATAGCCAGAATGACCACATAGGCCGTGCGGAGTGGCGTCACAGGGTCAGGGCACCTGACTTACGCGTTTCGTGCCCGTGCACGTTGCCTTGTCTATGCGTTGGGCATAAGATGTGAATGGGCCCTAACTGTTTCTAGGATCTACTCCCTGGCGCAGATAATGATGGCAATTCATTTTCCTATGAGTAGTCTGGAGCTAAAGACGTGACACAATGATGAACCAAGAAACAAATGTGCCCCGTCTAGCTGTTTATGTAGCAGAGGTGTGTAATTCAAACAGTTTCTTGTATAGAAATACAACTCATTTAGTAGGAAATATACAGTATGTATGTAATTTAAATGTGTGTATAGCTGTTTACCTGGTGTTCTGTTTTATAATAAACATTGCAATAAGAACACAAAGGGGGCTATTTACTAAAACTGAGTGCACAATCTGGTGTAACTCTGCATAGAAACCAATCAGCTTCCAGGGTTTATTGCAAAGCTTAACTGAACAATCTGAAGCTAGAAAATGATTGGCTACCATGCACCAGATTCTGAGTGCACCGGTCTTAGTAAATCTCCCCCAAAGCGTGTGCTGACAGAAACTATACTTTGCCTTTAAATTCAGAATAAGCAAATATTGTCTAAAGACAAGAGACATGTACTGTATTCTTATTTGGTGCACTTTGTATATTTCTTCCAGATCTGT